TTTTGATTAGATGAGTGTCTGACAAATGAATAAATACATTACCTGTTTAAGAGTATCCAAACCAAATGTTTCACATATGTATCCCATCTTGACGTGGAAATTTCCCTGGAGGGCTGCACACTGCTTAATTAAGTCTGAACAGTATTAGGCACAGGTGAGTGGTAAGGCGTGGGAACCTCAGAGTGTGTGTTGGGGTACTGCTGGAGTTTAACCAATTAACTTTCCATGCTGCCCACAGGACAGAAACACCCCTGGTCAAAGTGACAAATGACATTCTGTCCATCTGTGACCAGGGGTCCCTCTGCCTCCTCGTCCTCCTTGACCTCTCTGCTGCCTTCGACACTGTTGATCACTCTATCCTCATCCACCACGTCTCCACTCACCTCAACCTTCACAGTTCTATCCTTGAATGTTCAGATCGTACTCTCACACCGCCTCCACTTCATCTCAACAAAGAGTTTCTCCTCTAAGCCCGCACCGTCTTGTGCAGCGTTCCACAGGGCTCTGTCCTTGGTCCCCTCCTCTTCAATATCTATATGCTCCCTCTTGGTGACATCATCCCCCAACATGGGGTCAACTTCCACATGTATGCAGATGATGCCCAACTCTACCTCTTGGCCTCCACCCTTGACTCCAGGGCCACTGCTGTCCTGATATAACGTCTGTCGGACATCAAGTCCTGGATGAGAGCTAACTTTTTTCAGGTTGAACATCAACAAGATCAAGGCCCTCCTGATTGGTTCGCATCAGCACCTCCACATCAGGCACTGACTGGAGCCAATGACTATCCATGGATGCACACTCCAGCTTACTAAGTCAGCCGGAACCTTGGCATCCTGTTTAACCCTCAACTATCCTTTCTACCCCACATCCATGCCATGACCCACTCTGCCTTCCCCCATCTCTGCAACATCGCCCGGCTCCACCGTCTCACACCGAAACCATTATACGTGCATTCATAACATCGAGGCTTGACTATGCAAACTCTTTGCTTGTCAGCCTCCCAAACTCTTCCATCCATAAGCTGCAGATCATCCAGAACTCTGCAGTCCATGTCCTCTCCCTCACCAGACTTCGCAACCCCGTCACCTCCACCCTTGCCTGACTCCACTGGCTTTGCTTCATGCAGAGGATACAGTTCAAGATCCTGGTCCTCACCTTCAAAGCCCTCCATGGCCTCACTCCCCCCTGTCTCTGCGACCTCCTAAACCCCTACCATCCCCTCGCCACTTAGCGGGCACCTGCCTGCTTCACGTCCCCCGCTTCACCTGTCCCACCATTGGCGGGCGGGCCTTCTGTCACTCTGCCCCCACCCTCTGGAACTCCATCCCGCAGTCCATCCACCTTGCCCCTGTCCCTTGCTTCCTTCAAGACTCATCTCAAGACCCTCCTCTACGATCGTGCTTTCGATCACCCTGCTTCTCCCCCTGCCCTCCACCCTTTCCAATCCCGACCTCCAGCTCAGGTCCAAAATGCTGACCGTCCAGCACCGTGGGACATCCTCCCGACATGAAACGCGCTATACAAATGTAACGTTGTTGTTGTTGTTATGTCTATGATAGCTTGCTTTTAAGAGCACTGTTTGGCAAGCTTCTCGTTGCTTGCCTGGCCAGGACCAACTTACCTATTTGTGTTTGGTGTGTAGGATTAGCAGGAGCTGAGTGGGAAGAATCCCTGCTCCCCAATGGTCTGCCCCTCCAAATCCTGCTGACGAGCCAGGGTTACTGGTCTCTCATAATTAGTGGCTTGGGGTAGAGTGGATCCACCTGGTTCAGGAGTCAAACTACCAAGGCCGGTATATGGGTTGAATCGAATCCAACATTCCATTGTCAAGCATGTCACCTTGGAGTCAGCTCAGTTACCCCACTAGAAAAGTTTCTTGTTGGTTGTTTGACATCTGACAAGCACGTGGTTGAGCCCTCATGAGGTGAACAGTAGGCACCAGGAACTCCCTGCAAGCTTCTTGGTTAGCAGCACAGCTCAGTAACGTATGAAAGCAATGTTACTCTTCCACTATGCAGGCAACTTCTTCCAATACAATCTAGACATCAGGTCCACGGACTGTGCTGAAGATTCTTTTATATGAATCTAGACTGGTTATCAAAGCCCAAACTGAATAATATTCATCTGACTTCCACAAATGCTAAGGTTGAGGTTCTTCAGCTATGAAAAAAGAAGACCTGAGGAGTTTTGGCATTTTGAAGATCGCAAATAGATTATTTCCATTGACTAGAGGCAGCAATGAAAGTGGACAAAATAAAACAATCACAAACAGAATTAAAGGGGAGGTTAGAAAATAATTCTTTACAGAGAGAATGGTTGAAATTGGAATTCTCTGCCACAAACTGTAGTTGAAACATAGTCCATAAATGTTTTTAAAAAAAGGAATAGAACATAAAAGAAGTAAGCGACAGGGGTCTGGAGAAAGGGCAGGTAAATGGGACTCAAAAGATTGCTCTTAAAAAAGTCAGCACAGACAAGGTGTACTGAATGACCTTCTTCTGTGCTATAAATTCCTATGGAATTAATGATCGAAAATTAGGAATACTAAAGGGTTTGGGGAGCGAGTACAACAACACTAACTAGCATTTCTATATCACCCTTCATGAGGTATAGTGTCTCAGAGCGATCAGTGACTATATTGAGGAAAATAAGTGTAAATTTGATGGGCCAAATCTGTAATCTGTACTCCAACATTCTAATTATGTGCAACGTTGAAATGTTCTAGAAGCAGTCACTGAATAGTGATGGGGGGGGAAGATATTTCCCATTATTGGTAAATTTACTACCTATTGTTTTTAATGTATTTTCTTGTATTAAACCTCGGTGGGGTGGAGGGCAGGGGTCACCTATGTGGAACAATCTTTGGTTATTGATTGTCGTGATGGCATTTATCAAGAAAGTGATAATTATTACTGATAACAATAAACACGGACCCACACACCACAATTTTCATCGGATAAATATCCATGCACACTCATGTTGCTTAAATCTATTGGTGAGTTAACCTGGTCTGTATTGCCCATGTACAATCCTTTCACTTTTGTGATATATTAAAAGCAAACACTGAACAGTGATCTTTATGCAATCGCTCTGGCTGCTTGTTAGTTAATACACCATGTATAAGAAACATAAATATAGCCAGTGCCTGACTCATCTACCCCAGCTCACGGTTGTCACAAAATTATTTTGTCTGTCTGATTTCCTCCTGGTGTTGACCTCTCTCTGGTCAACTTGAAGAATACTGGATTCTGGCACTTGTGCCAATCATCTTCAGTCTTTCCCTATCTCTTTGATTGACAGGAACCCAGAGGTCAACCAGTGGAGAGTAGCAGCCTGAATAAACAAATTGCATTTCCATTAAACTATGTTTAAACCTAAATATTTTTGTCCCTTACTATATTGTCAAATATTTCATAAATAGCTGACCTTTTCAGATGCTGCCTCTTTGTGGAAAACATTACTTTTTGACAACCATGAAGGTCAATAGCTTCAAACATCCCAATGAAAACATTTATTTAATTGAATTCAAAAAGAATGCACTGTTGATTGGGAAGCTGTGGGGGGGGTCTGCTGGTTGGAGTTCCATTCGATTGATTTGGGGGATGCTCTGGTGGTTTGGGGGCACCCTGTCAAATTGATGTGGGTTCTGTTGATTCTGTTGATTTGGGGAGGAGCGTTCTGTTGATTTGCATTCCGTGTTTGTTTTTAAACGGTACTGTCCTGTACCCTTGTGGAGATCTGTAGCTCAGTGGTTAGAGCACTCGTCTCGCAAGTAAGAGACTTGGGTTTGATTCCCGATAGGGTGAAATGTTGGGCAAGTTTCCTTACTCCACACTCTGTTTACCTGGCAGTAAGTAGGAACACGGTTGTTAGTCGATTAGTCAATTTCCGGGAGTAATAATGCCTTCAAAAAAAATAATAAATTGGTCACTTCAATCCACGACTTTTTGTGGGACACTGCTGTGCGCAATTGGCTGCCGCTCTTCACCCACAGATTATACAGTCAATTCACTTTACAGTATATTCTGTGAAGTGCTTTGAGACGTCTAGAAGATGGGAAGAGCGCTATATCAAATGTAAGGATTATTATTATTATTCTGTGAAGTGCTTTGAGATGTCTTGAAGATGTGATAAGGCGCTGTATCAAATGCAAGGATTATTATTATTACAGCTGTGTTCTGTTACATATTTTTATTTGAATAGAGAATGTGAATAACATTAATAACTTGTTGTAACAAGGCTGAATTAGCATAACTAGGCCACAGTTATTAAACCTCCAAGCCTGAGCAATCTTGCCACTTGAGCTGTGCACATACTAATTCATTGGCTCCCTCACTCCATCAGGCTCAGCAGCACCTTCAAGCCTGTTCCACCACAGCTGCCATCATCACTCCCAGTTCACACAAAAGCCCTTTTTGAATGAACAACATAAAAAAATATGTTAAAAGTAGATTAGTTTTTAATGAACAAAATGTGAATTGCTTGACAATATGGGACTAGATTACCTAAATAGGAATGCAAGACTTGTATAATATAAAATACTAGCACCCCCCCACCCCCCTCCCCCATTTAGCATTTGAGATCCATAAAATCCTAATCTGATTCAATGTGCATGTGTACGCTTGTTGGCATGCTAGTTGGTTTGACTGTGCATGGGGTGTAAACAATCAGCGCACGCCCTGTGTACCAGCTGGTTCCTGCACCAACAAACAAAATACCTGACTTCTCCTCATCGAATCACCACAATGGTACTTCCTGTTTACTGGCTATGCGCAAACAAAGAAATGACATTAGAAGCAACTTGATGACCAGGATATTGGCCATTTTTTGCTCAGATATAATGGCCGACTTCCGGGTCATTAGCTAGGTGACTATATTTTGTTAACTAAATCGGGGACACATATAAAAACAATTGAACTCACCACTAGGAGCTTGTTGGATTAATGGCTGTATTTTTCTGATGAGTGTATCTGTTTAGAATTTTATTTTTTTTGCTCAGTTTTTGCTGAACTCAAGACAGGGCAAATTTGGCCAGGGACACATTCGCTCATCTGGGGACAGACCCTGGAAATCGGGGATCTATGCTCACCTTACACGAGGTCACCTCCAACATCACTTCCTGCTTTATACATGTGCGGAAAAGCAGGAAGTTACATTATTGGATACCTAATAACCCGGAAATTGGCCATTTTAGTGTGAAAAAACACCCGGCGTGCAGGAAACAAGCAGGACGGGTGTGCACATGCACACAGAATGAGGTGCACAGAGCAACTGCATTATAAGAGATTTTGCACTGTAGGGAAATGCATTATAATGGGACTGCACTGCCAATCTGGCATTTGATATAGCACCTTTAACATCTAAATGTCTCAAATTGCTTCCCAGGTGCAGTTAATGTGTATTGGCGGGCAAATCTATGTGCCATAAAAGTGATGCATGATTTTACTCCCTCCCCAGTCATAAAGTCAGCGCCTCCCTGAAGTTGCATATTTGGTAACATTCTTTTAAGACCATGATATTGAAAACACAGATTTTATTTACTTTTCTCCTGATTCCCACCTCCCTCTAGATAACAGTTAGCAAAGTTTCCCAACTATAAAGGCTGTTTTGCCAACATTGTATCTCAGTGTGAAAGCTGTAACTTGATTGCAGTTACAGCAACACCCAGACCTAGGACTTAAAGCAGGATGAGCAGTTGCCATTGCTTCTGAAGGAATTGAGGGTAGGGGTGATGACATCGGACTCCACAGACTCTACAAGATCATTCTCGCTGGCAATGATGTGTTTCACCAAACATCGAGCTGCTTCGTCAATGTTGACATTTTCCTGGAAGGGGTGGGAAAAACAGATTAAATATTCTTTCATTAAATAAGATTTTTTGCATTTAATATCACATCTATAACATCTAAATGCTTTGCAAGTTTATTTTGTAAGTGAACATAAGCAGCCAATTTGACACAGTAATGTCCCAAAAACAGCCATAAGGCGATTGACCAATTTTCTCTGTTTATAATGATTTGATGCAGGACCTTGTATTTGATACAGCTTCTGTAATGTCAAAACATGTCAAAATGTTTCATAGCTAATTGATATTGAGTGCATAACTGTGTATTTGTAGGCAAGGTTGCAACCATAACGTTGTGGAATCTCATCCCAATAGAATATTGGGTGAGAAGTGGAATGGGAAGATTGTCCCAGGAGAGAATGTGATGGGTCTCAAGACCTTTTCCTGCCCTTTTCTTTCTATGCTTCTATTTACTGAGCCCATGCAACCTGTATACTCAGCAATATTCAGTCATTGGGCTCATTATCCATACTCTACCTACTTTATAAATTTGCATTATTTCACAGTGGAACTGGCATCTCCATCTTCCTTTATCATCCCAATTTAACAACAACAACATCTATGAAAACTTTAAGATTTAGAATTTTAGAGCATATGCACAGATCCCTCCAGAATTAGTGCACAACAATGCATTTAAATGCCAATGGGGAGAAAGTATACCTTATGTAGCTCTTTTGGTGTTCAGAATTTAACAAATTGTTGAATTCAGTCTTAACTTCAGGTTGGTTTTCTGAAGTTCTTAATTGTATGGTTTGGCATCATAGTATACCTTTGTTCACCATGACACTATAACAACAACTTGCATTTATATAGTGTGTGCAGCATCACTGTCCATGTCATAATGTCCCTATCAGGTACAGGGCTTCCTGGTATTCGTGGCAATGATGTGTATGAGCGCAACAAATGAAAACAAATTAAAATGAGAGCAGGGGGTTGACAGGACTAGGCAGGGGATACACATAGACCATTGTCCATTGGTCATTCTCCATAACTGCATGGAGAAACTTAGGCTGGTCACATGAAACTGCAACAACAACAACAACTTGCATTTATATACCTACCTTCACTTGGGATAGCATCTCAATACACAATGTAAGGTCAGATATATATCTTAATACTAGAGAACATTCCCAGTGCAGGAGCAGGCTTAATAAAAAGGGAGTTATTTGCAAGTGTGAGCGTAAGTCTTTGAGTCAAAGAAAACCTGTGTGACCTGATATGAGGACTCTCTACCAGGGAGGGCTCAAGGAAACACAACTCAACTGTATCCAACTGCTGCATCACTTTTTTAAAAAATGTTTGTGACAGCAAACCTTTTCTGTCAAGATATTATGCTTTGAGGCATCCCATTGGGCATCTGTGAGATCTGCTATTTTTGCACAATACTGATTCAAGAGCCTGCCCTGAGATAACTGCAGAACTCTCTGGCATCTCAAATATTGGATAAGATTTTAATAACTTTCTATTGAGGTAAATTATTTTGTATTGTACTTTGTGGGACAGATTCATGGTTGCCACAACATAATCAATAACCATACTAGGGTCTAATTTGTGGCACTGAATGATGAAGATTCTTTAGCAAATTCCAAAGTTTAGAAATTTGACATTTACCCATTTCTTATTACAAAATGTGATTAAATCCTATTATTGCCCCATCCACATTCATCATACACCACACACACCAGGCTCCATGACCCCTTCACCCCCACCCTTACTCGGGTCCACTGGCTCCTCATCCTCCAGAGGACAGAGTTCAAAATCCTCGCCTTGCATTCAAAGCCCTCCACTGCCTTGCCCTTCCCTACCTCTGTGACCTGCTGACCCCATATCAACCTGTCTGCTCCCTCCACTCAGCAGGCTCTGGCCTGCTCCATATCCCCCATCCAGCCACCCCACCATCGGTGGCCAAGCCTTCAGCCTTTTTTCCCCCACCCTAAGGAACTCCATCCCACATTCCCTTCACCTCGCTCCCTCCCTTGCCTCCTTCAAGACACGTCTCAAAACCCTTCTCTTTGACCAAGCCTTCATCCACCCTCCTACCCTCCCTCCTCCCCGATCCCGGCTCAGGTCCAAATCCCTGGCAGTCCAGCACGTTGAGACGTCCTCCCGACATAAAAGGTGCTATAGAAATGTAATTTTAAATTGTGTATTGTAATACTGGGTTAAAATTCCATTCAATATTTATGTATCTTGCTTTTGGCAATGTCATCCGCTAATGGGATTTCCCCATCATAGTCAAATATCGCAAAAGATGCACAATACCGAATGGAATTTTTACCCCCATGTGTTGTGAACGGCAATAAAGGAATTGGTATAAAACCTTTTCTGGACACCATTAACAAAATTCCATTCATAGAATCATAGAATTATACAGAACAGAAGGAGGCCATTCGACCCATCCTATCTGTGCTAGCTCTTTTAAAACAGCTATCCAAATCAATCCCACTCCCCTGCTCTCTCCCCATATTCCTGCAAACTTGTCCTCCCCAAATAATTCTCTCTTGAAAGTTGTTATTGAATCTGCTTCCACCACCCTTTCAGGCAATGCACTGCAGATTCGAACAACTCGCTGTGTGAAGAATTTCTTCTCACCTCCCCTCTGTTTCTTTTAACCACTATTTAAATCGGTGTCCTTGGGTTACCGACCCAGCCCCCCACCAGCGGAAATAGTTTCTCCTTGTTCACCCTATCGAATCCCCTCATGATTTTGAAAACTTCTATTAATTCTCCTCTTAACCTTCTCTGCTCCAAGGAGAATAATCCTAGCTTCTCCAGCCTCTCCTGATAACTGAAGTCCATCATTCCTGGTACCATCCTGGTAAATATCCTTTGCACCCTCTCCAATGCTTTGACATCCTTCCTAAACTGTGGTGTCCAGAACTAAACACAGTACTCTAACTGAGGCTTAACCAGTGTTTTATAAAGGTTCATCATAACTTCTTGACTTTTGTATTCCATGCCCCTATTTATAAATCCTAGTATCCTGTATGCTTTTTTAACAGCTTTATCTTCCTGTCCTGCCACCTTCAGAGATTTACTTATATGACCCCCAGGGCTCTCTGTTCCTTCACCCCCTTTAAGATTGTACCATCAGTTTATATTGCCTCTCCTCATTCTTCCTCCAAAAATGCATCACTTCGCATTTATCTTCATCTGCCACATGTCTGCCCATTTTACCAGTCTGTCTATGTCCTCTTGCAGTCTGCTACTACCCTCTTCACTGTTTACTACTTTTCGTAGCTTAGTAGCATCTGCAAACTTGGAAATTGCACTCCTTATACCGAAGTCCAGGTCATTTATATAGATCAAAAACAGCAGTGGTCTCAATAACGACCCCTGTGGGACACCACTGCACACTTCTCTTCAGTCAGAAAAACAACTCTATTTAAAACAGTGTGTGATTCAACTAGTCGGGCAAAAATATTTCAACCCAGAGGCTCTGTGGAATAACATTTTTCAAATGAGTTGAGTTTTTAAAGATTTTTCCAAAATTCTGCCTAATCTTAAATTTCAAGAGTATTGGTGTATAACAGTTGAAACTATGAGATATTCCAGGGACTAAATGCAGCAGATTTTCATTTAAACACAAGTCATTTCAATGAAGCATTTGTGTAAAGTGTCAGGATCAGATTTCTCTCGGATAATTTAATTCCTTGAATTTTCAGTATGGATAGAAATCTTCACTGGTCAAAGGCCATTTGCTCCTTCACTCTTATTGGAATCCCGATAGACTGAAGGAAACCCTTAACGGTTACAGATTAGAAGGTTAGCCCTATGTAATAGAATAATCAAAACCTTGCACAGAATACATATACATTGGTATACAATTATGCCAAACCATACAACTGGAGGGAACTTCTTTCAAGAACTTCAGAAAACCAACTTTAAAGTTAAGACTGAATTCAACAAATTGTTAAATTCTGAACACCAAAAGAGCTACATAAGGTATAATTTCTCCCCATTAGCATCTAAATGCATTGTTGTGCACTGTTTTAATTCTGGAGGGATCTGTGCATATGCTCTGAAATTCTAAATCCTAAAGTTTCAACATATATTAGCTGAACTGCAATTACACCTTTTTTTNACAACCAGTGTGAATTCAAATTGCTCCAATTCTGAGCACAGAGACTGATAAAGTAAAATTGAGTAATCATTCACATTATGCTCACAAGAAAAAAACCTTGTGCGTTTCACCCCAGCATGGTATCAGTACTTTTGATTTGCTGTGTCTCCAGGAAATTAAAGCCCCAGTACATTTTCTTTGGTTAGCCAAATATCTGACACACGCGGAAACCCATCGCCAGGTTTAAGAGTATCGAAACCAGGCTAAGAGTTCAACATGGTTCTTCAATACCCGTGGGATTAGAGATCTGCTACAATTGGAATGTGCTAATCCATCATAATAATAATCATTGCATTTCATATAGCGCCTTATCAGGTCTTCGAGACATCTCAAAGCACTTTACAGAATATGCTGTAAAGTGAATTGACTGTATATTTTGTGGGCGGAACGCGGTATGCAATTGTGCGCAGCAGTGTCCCACAAACAGTTGTGGATTGAAGTGAGCAATTTATTATTATTTTATTTGGAAGGAATTATCATCCCCGGAAAATGATCTGCCAATCGACTAAAAACCATGTTCCTACTTACTGCTAGGTAAACAGACGTGTGGAGTAAGGAAACTTGCCCAACGTTTCGCCCTGCTGGGAATTGAACCCAGATCTCTTGCTTGTGGGGTGAGTGCTTTAACCATTGAACTACAGGACTCCACATCTGCTGCTTCTAAATTAGCCTGTAAGATTCTCTCATGTTACAGAAGTAGAGTACAGAAGTACAGAAGTGATAGAAGGATTTTATGTTGGTACTGAATGGCATCAGAAATGCATGCTAAGACAGATCAGGGTGGTTCAACTTTTTGGCTGCCCTGGGCTGGATTCCCTTTTTGAGAAACATCCACAGGACATACAAGCAATACTTTTG